GAGGGCGCGTGGGTGCTGCAGGCACCGCAGGGCTCCCCGTCGCTGCTTGGTGGGTCGGGGGGTTTGGGGGCACTCACTGGGTGTGGCTGGGGTGGTGCTGGGGTGGCCGGGGGGCTTTGGGGTGGCTGTCCTGCTGCCACCGGGATGGAGGTGTCTGGGGAAGTATCGAGGTCCAGCTGTGCGGTGCTGGGGACAGATCCAGCTGTGCAGCCTTGCGTCAGGTCCAGATGTGTGGTGCTGGGGGTGGATCCAGATGTGCAGCCTTGCAGTCAGATCCAGCTGTGCAGCGCTGGGGCAGATCCAGCTGTGCAGCCTTGCAGTCAGATCCAGACGTGCAGCTATGAGGGCACACCCAGCTGTGCAGCCTTGCAGTCAGGTCCAGCTGTGGAGTGTTGGGGATGGATCCAGTTGTGTAGCCCTGCAGCAGATCCAGCTGTGCAACCCCAGTGCCAGATCCAGATGTGCAGCACTTTGGGGCAGATCCAGATGTGCTGCCCCAGAGGCAGATCCAGCTGCGCAGTGCTGGGGACAGATACAGCTGTGCAGCCTTGCAGTCAGATCCAGATGTGCAGCAGCATTGCAGTCAGATCCAGCTGTGCAGCGCTTTGGGACAGATCCAGCTGTGTGATGCTGGGGATGGATCCAGTTGTGCAACCCCAGTGCCCGATCCAGATGTGCAGTGCTTCGGGGCTAGATCCAGCTGTGCAGCCCCGGCGGCAGGTCCTGTAGGTGTCAGGGACTTCTGCTCTATCTTCCAGCCTGGATCAACTGTGAAATCAGGGGATGGCATTTGGAGTGAATGCTTTTTTCTTGTTTGAGGTCAAAGCCCTCGAGGGTTGCGTGTGGATATCCAGCTCCTCTTTGCTATTCGAGGATTTTAAAATGAAATATTATTGTAAATTATTTGTTAGCTTCGTGAATCGCAACCACTTTCTGTCTGTTCCACTGTGAGCCCATCCTTGCTCTGCAAGTGGGTTTATTGCTCCTCCGTGCTCGCCGAAATCAGTTCCAGGTCCTTCAAACTTGCTGGTGAAAAATCAGGTGGTTTGATGTGCGCCTGGGATAGGGCTGGAAACAGGCGTCGGGAGATCCAGGCGCTCGCTTCAGAGCAGCGCGGCTGACACTGGATGTCACCATTGCACAGTACAAAACTCGCGGCAGGTGCTCGGGGATTTATTCTCCCCGCGTGATATGGGGGGAAAAAAGCCTCGTCTGCTGTCTCCCATCTATTCGGTGTAATTGGGTTTGGTTTATAAACTTCACAGACAGGTGGCAAAAGTTGTTTGGTTTTGTTCTGTTTTGTTTTTCTTAGTTAAACTTCAGGCACGCGCGAGTTATGTTCTGCCTGGGATCTCTGGCCACGTGTTTTCTGAAATAATATAGGATTGGGGTATAGGCTGCTAGGAAAAAGTAATTGAAGTCTTCAGTGAAAATAATGCATGAATATATATGTTTTCTGATCTATTAAAAAATAATCAGGTGTCTGCATTTTTTTTTTTTTTCAAAGTGGTCCCTATTGTGCGGTGCTTTAATCTGCTTGGCTCCAGCATGCCCCTAAAGCTGGAATGGGATTTAATGGGATGGAATAATGGCATTATTCTCGGTGCTTGCGTAATGAAACAAGCCCCTCTCTTCCCTCGCACAGAACAGAAAAACGCACGGATCGTGATGACCACCCTGCTCCTCACCGAGCAAATAACACAAGAAGACCGTGGCTCGGAGGGAAACTATGTCCTGTATGGATCCTCCTGTTCCCAAATCACCGAGGAGGCCGAATACGTGAAAAAGGTATTTCTGGAGGTGTTGCTGTTCTGTT